ATAATTTAACTACCATTAAATTTATCTTGATAAGCTCTACAAGAAACTTAAAGATGAATAACTTAGTACAAAAAAAAGTTTTCCTTAAACAATTACTAGAAAATTTTTTTTTTGTATCTATAGTAATTTAAATATAACCACATTATGTTTTATTATGATCATTCTTAAGTTTACTGAAGAATCGTTTATTAAATAAGTAAAATTTTAAAAATAATACTGTAATATTTTTTAATAAAATTTTATAAAATACAGTATTATTTTTAAATTTTATTAATTGTCAAGAATGATGCTAAAATCAGATAATGCTGAAATTCATATAATCATATGATAATCTTCTGCATAAACACCTAGTATTACTATTACTGTTGGTGTTAGAGTTAAATTTAGGGTATGAAAGATTTTTTCTTATTTTATATATATTATATCTAATTCCTTTATAACAATTAAAATATAGTTATACCCAAACCCTAACCCTAATATTTACAGTGAAATTTTTTAGTTGGTGATGCTAGAGTTCTATAAACACTTTAGATTTGTTTATATAGAAGATTATTATGTAATCACATGAATTTTAGCATCATCCAATTTCAGTATCATCTCTAACATTAATTAAATTTAACTTAATACTCTAAGTAAACTTTTTTTTTTGTAATCAAGATTAGTCTTTTTGGCTTATTGCTTTTTATTAGATTTAGAATCATGTAGTGCCCTTTTTAAAAGGATACCAGACAAGTACATTCTGACGAGAATATATTCTAGCCATATCTGCATCTTTTGGATACCTAATTAAGTATTCTATTTATGTACTAGATGTTGTATCTATAACTACTATTACTTAAGTTATCTAATTAAACCCTCTGATCTGAGTTTTCTATATTAATCCATCTAATCTCACCCAGAACATGCGATATATTAGTTAGCCTAAGTTTCAGGATCGTCATATCCACCTATAGGACTACTGGTATGGTTAACTGATTCATTCTTAAATGCATCATCTGCTTGAGCAGTCCGGTACTCACTATTCCCGTATTGTCTAGTTTTCTTCAGTAACTTACACTAAGTCTAAAGACAAGTACTTGCGAGCTGAAGCTGCTATAGTTATTTACTACTGCTCTTATAGAGTTTACCCAAACCCCAGTACATCTACAAACTATTTCCAGTATCACAGCTATTCTAAACTACCAATTCAGATAATCTAAAAGGGCTATAACCTGCATCTAGTCTTTACGATTGGGTCCTTTTTCTCTGATTACTCCTTCAGTAGTCTGGTTGGTGGAATGCCTTGCCAAACACTTTAGTCCTGTTTAGTTTATCTAGTTCTCTGAGTATTAATCTGCATATAGTACCGTCAAAGATCTGTGCTAACTCTCAATTCAGAACTTCTTAAACAAGTGCTCTACTATTGTATTGGCTCTGTGATTTTCTGTGATTTCAAAGGACTTATTTTAGGTTTACACTGACTAAACTGGCTTGCATGCCTTTATATAACTCCTTTATTATACAAATGCTTCAAAATCTTCCAATTTTTATTTTAGTATGACCATAGTTACAAGGTCTTGAGTTTTCTCAGCCACAACAATAGTTGTCAAATCCATTTTTTTAAATTCAATTTTTCATCTTCTGTGAGAATTGAACTTATACTCTACTACTTGAGGGTATGACAACTTCACCACTTCACTAAGTTGCCACACACTTATACTTCAAATAAACTTGTTTAGTATTTAAAAATATATTATATATATTTGAACTTAAACTAGTTTCTAAACTTTAAACCAAACCCAAACTAACTTGTAATTAAGTTTGAGTTTGGTTTGAAGTTTGGAACTGGCAAAATTTAAAGGTGAAGTTTATTTTAAAATCTAAAAGTATCTATAAAAATTATGCCTAAAATTGTGATTTTTATATATAAAGTTATACAAAAAAATTTTTTTGGTTTACATAAAACTGTTTAAACAAACCTGGTTAAACAGCTTTTTTTTAAATGTTTTATATAAAAAATTTATAAATCTTTTTTAAAAAACCCATCTGATTATTAAAACATCTAAAAAAATTTTTTTACAAGTTTTTAAATTTTGACCTGATTGGATTATAAAAACCAAAAAAAATTTTTATATAGCCTAATTCATATACAATTTATATTTAAACTTTTTATTTTTACAACCAATTATTTACAACCATTAAGCCTTCCCAAAAAATAGTAAGTAAACTATTATACTATAAATATTTGATAATATAATTACTGTATATTGATATGCTTATTTTTATTATTGTTTAACAATTATATTTACCATTGGATGGTGATGTCATATGATGACTTATATGATTTGTTATATTACAATATCATATGAAGTGTTATATATTATTAATAATATGACATGATTCATATGATTCTATATTATATGAATATATCACATGATATTATGATATTGTCATCGTCCAACACTGCTGCCTACAGTATCTCTCATAATACCTTCCATGATTAAGATCCGGGTACTATTCAGCGCCTCTATTGACTTGTTTTTTTAATAAGACACAGGGGTACAACTATGCTGATTTACTACTTTAATATGATATACTGTATCTCAAAATACGGTAGTCACAAGAAATACGCCATACATTTTATAAATCGAGGATGCCAAACCAAGTTCGATGATTTGGTGCTTACACGAATACTACAGACTGTAGGAATCGTTTAAATCTAAGATGGTAGAAAACAGATTAGCTGTTTTCGAAATATAGCCATTAAATGGAGCCATACATTAAAATTAGAGTCGGAAGTTTGACCCGACCGGATTATGAGAAAAAATTGATTAAATTTTTATGTCCTAATGGAAATAAGCAATTGTTTTTTAATAATGCAGATATTTCATGAACTGATCCATTTTCGGGTTAAATGAATGCTACGACCGTTAGTATCCATTATCAAAAACGAATTAGCCATTCTTGGGGTAATTGTGAACTGTGTAATGATAATACTTTGCATATTATTAATCCATTTTCGATGATTTTGAACATAGACGAATCTTGCTATTTATAGTATTCGTTTAAACTAAATTGAAGAAATTCATAAAAACGGCTACTGTATAGTATCCGATTCTTCACACAGTATTGCAGTACCCACGAGTACTGTACTATTCAATTTTAAAAATGGAGTTCTTGAATAAGACCCTCGGTACTGTAGGCAGTGGCAAATCAATATCATGCAGCGATTAATATCTGACATGTGTCACTTAGCGGCGCATTTCAGCCAATCATTTGCTCTGAATCTGTGCCAAGTTTTGCCGATCATTCGCCTAGATTGACCAACGTTGGCCTGCATTAGGGTAATATTTATAATAATAAGAGCACGTACCAAAATTATGAGGATTTTTTTTTTTTTTGTTATAGAGAAAAAGCAGTTTCATAAAAAAAATTTAAGATAGAAAAATTTTATTAATAAGCATCATATGATAACTGAGATATCGTGGATTATTCAAGCGTATGATCTGAAATTTTTTGTGTGGCGGTTGACCAAACCTGGTACAGGTTTTATTATTATGCGTTGATAAAAATCGTTACCGTTACGAAATCGATTATTCTACTGACATATAATACATATCCGCAGTGTTTCATATATATATTTTATTTTTGCCTTTTAAATTTGATTTGACACAACGATAATATTTTAATAATGCTGGTTACATAATAATATTTAAAAACTGATAACGATAATGTTTAACTTTGTACCACGTATTCAAGATTTTTAATTAACCCGTGTTTCATAAGTGTTGTTTAAAAAAATCGATTTACGATTGTTAACTAGTACAAAGAAAAAAAGTCGTTGTTTCATTTAAAAAGAATCAAATAATAAAATTTGGATATGGGACTGTGCTTTATCATTTTCTGGTTTCTGTGTAAATGTTTGAAAAATAGTGACTTTATAGAGTGCACTAGCGTAATACTTTATCGGCCATATGCACCTTCAATTGTATTTTTAAATCTATGATATTAAGTAGTTTAAGCAATAATATAAAGTATTTCTCCGAGATTTTCAAGTTTATGCATCAATATGATATATAATTTTCACATCATTTGCGTAAATTGTTGGCTTAGTAAAGTTTAGAAGTGCATCAAACCATTTAACACCAACTCCACATTATGCCGCATTTGTGTAATTTAGTATTTGACTAGACTATGAAGTGCGTCATCTACTATTTATTTCTTTTTTGAGATTTCTTATTGTAAAATCTTTTCACGAGAAGATGGGTTAGACGTTATCCGTATGATTTTCCAATAAGAAATGTAAAATTACACGAATGCGCCGTAATGAAGGTTTATAAATAATTCTCAAACATGATTCTCATGACCATCTGCATATCCTGTCAAATATCCATTTACATACAATATGATAATATCGGTAATTGCTTATTTAGTTTAGTACGTACGTACATAAGTTGAAAGTTCAGATATGCCGTGTTCTTAAAGCTTTGTGAGTCAGCTTCACGCATAAAAATAAACAGGTTCAAAATTAAATTAGACATGCGAATGTCTTTATATGTTTGACAATTGGTGACATCATATATCGCTATACATAAGCATTAATGTTTCATACATACTGACACAACTGTCGTATCTATTGAAAGTTATAAATTTGTACATTGACTAATTAACGAATACATTGACGAATACATTGGCGAATATATTAGCAAAAAGGATTTCTAAAATTTCACAACAATATAAAGATAATACAACTATTATCGGAAGCATATAACGCACGTAGACGTACGCACGTACGTCCATAGATTATACGTGACAAAATCAAATAGATCAATTTTAATAAAAAAGATAATTACGTAACTAATTTATTAATCCTTTAATGGGTAAATTAACATGTGAATAAGAAATTTATATAAATCACATGATATAATACGCAATATAACGCAATATAATTAAGCATATCGAAATCTAACAAAATTATTAATATTTGAATGTAGATACTTTTATTAATGTGAGTGGTCGACTCACTCATCATCTTCAGTTGTTAAACTTTCAACAATGAGATTAGCAGACGGCCAAAGCCCATTTTCATTTTTGATAGTCTTGAATTTATCTGCCTGATGTACAGTTCGTGGAAATGAAACGAGCAAGAAATCAAAATTATGTTCATAATCTTTTGGTGGCTGAATATCAGCTGATGAAGATGTTTCATTTCGAATATGATATGTATCAACGAAAATATAGACCATCTACAATAAATAAAAGTTGAATAATGAAAAAATCATTAGAAATTTGCTAAATTATTTAAATTATTATTATTATTATTACCTCGACAGTATCATCAGCCCTAAACCTTCTTACTACTCTCTCACCATTTAATAGTCGGAAACTTAAACTTGCAACTTCTGTTTCATTTTGATTGGGTTCATTCGGTAATTGTGTTAAAGCCCATCTTCTCCATTTTTCTTTATTTGCCAATATCAATTTGCGCTCTTCTGCTTCCCTTTTTGCACGTTCACTTGCCAATCTTTTTGCTTCTTCTAATTCTCGTGCTTTACGTTCTTTTGCTTGATCAGCCTGCAACGATGCAAGATATGCGTTATCTTGTTGTTCACGAATCTGGCGTGCTGAATCTCGTTCAGCACGCTCATTACGAAACCGTTGTAGACCAGGACCGTAACGACTTATCAGAATTGTAAGTCGTGCTATAAGTATTTCAGGACTTAATGATCCTTTAATCATAAACCGATTTTATTACAAGCAATACATTTATTAAAATAGTTGAAATTATTTTAACAATGAACGAGATAGGCACTAATCAATAATAATTTTTAAACTTTCAATAAAAATAAATAAATAAATAAATTTACCTTCAATACGATCCACCACCGTCATTTTTGGACTAGTCCCGTTATTCCCATGAGGCGTTGCAAGAACAATCACAGCCACAAATGGGTATGTTGTCGCTTGCAATATACTATTTACTGTTTAAAAAAAAAAATATTTTGAATTAAAATTCTTATATTCTTATGCAAAGTGTGAAAGAAACTTATAAATATTTATACATATAATATTTTGTATAAATATTTAAATAACTTGTATCTAACCTTGAAATGCTTCTGGATCTTTTATATTTCCGGCCCATACTAAAACATCATTTTCTCGAAGAAACGATATCAATAGTTCTGAAGTTAATGTATCACTAAAAAAAAAAAAAAAATAATAATAGTTGTGAATGAGTAACGATGATATTATATAAATTTGGAAATTAAAAATTAAATTATATTAATTTGTACAAGTACCGATTAAATTTTTTTGTATTATCATGTTCGTCAGCTTGCAGTATTATCATAGCAAAACGAAGATCATTTTTTGCTCTTTCTAAGGCCTTAAAACATTGGTATATAAAAAAAAAAAAAAAAGAAAAACGAAATATATATATATTTATATAGATATACATATATATATATAATAAAAAAGAAAGAAGAGAAAATAAAAACAAAGAGAATATAGAGAACGATTAAGAATGATCATAATTTTTCAAAAAAAACAAAGAAAAAAAAATTGATCATACCTGAGAATAGGCCCCTTGAAAAAAGTCTGGATGCGTACGACCATATTTTTGTTCAAATTTTTCTATAAATTGTGCTGTTAATCGCGAATCCCTTATTCGATTAGCTTGAGGATCAGTAATCGCTGGACGTGGAATAATAAAGTAGAAAAAGGCTTGCAAAATATTCCTGACTAGGCTAACGCAAGCCGTAAGTATGGCCACCAGAACCATTTCGAGTCACCTATAAAATTCGAAAATTTAAGGCAAACTCATAAAACGCCAAGGTATACTTTGTTCGAGATTTCTAAAACCACACAAAGGGGTGAAAACCTTTATGAATTGAGTAAATATGAAACGTTTAAATAAACGACTTAGACGATAACTCACATAGATTTAAGGATAATGTATTAATATCAGCCAGGTGCGCCGAATGTATTGAAAGAAATTATGCAAGTATAAATGATCACGATTCGCGTAAACCTGTGGAATTTCACCCTTAACAAAGCAGACTTTCAACAATTCTAATAAAGCCATCCCAAATCTTATTAATAAAATGGATTCTATCACATGTGACTGTTGCATATTTTTCATGCTAAAATATAAGGCTAAAATATAAGGGTAGTCATTGTGTATAATTGATGATCTGATTTGTTTACCGAAACGGACATGTGCGCGACTGCGAAGGTAGCTTTGTGTACGGTCAACTTGGGTAATTATGCATGGAAATTAGTAGTACAAAATAACAATAAGTTTAATAACAACGTATTTAAAATCGATAACGATGATAATAGATACAATCTACGACCACAGTCTAATCTAGTGAAAGGTTTGACTTTTCTTCTTTTGCAAGACAACTCTATTTAATCATTTTAAATACAAGGTAAGCTGTCCTAAACTCTCTTATTAAGTTTTTTATGTTTAAAGTTATTCACTCTCATCCTAATATGTTGACATTAGATGGTTATTCCTGACCATACCAAGATTGCGCCTGTTTCGTCACTTATTAATAAATTTGAACAAAATCCGGACGAAGCGTCTACTCAAACAAATTCTCGTGCTCGTAGTCCTATTCCTGGAAAGATAGTTCATAATTATGAATTAAAAACGGCTGAAGAGACTAGCATTACGACTACGACCGAGAAAAAAACTGAACTAAAAGAAGAACCAACTGTCGAACCTGTTCAAACAAGTGAAACTGCTGTTGTACCTGAAACTCTTAATGGTGAAGATAAAGTTAACGAAGAAAAGAGTCAAGAGGTGGAAGTACCTGCTATTATAGAAGATAAACAAGAATTAAAAGAAGAAAATGAGGAGGAACAACATAATGTAGAAACTGCTGTAACGGATAATGATGCCAAGGCTGCTACAGATAATGATGCCAAGGTTGCTACGGATAATGATGCCAAAACTACTACTACTCCAACAAATTCCGCTTCTGAAAAGAATGCAAAGAAAGTTGGTACGACCACGAAAAAGACTATCAGTCCTACTAAAACTTCTATTCCTGTTAAACCTGGAACAAAGAAAACGACATCATCAGTTCATACTTCACCCGATAAAAGTAAATTATCAACCGGTAATAGTTCATCAACTGCTCGTTCCAAGTCTCCAGGAAGAACAACAACCACTTCGGCCGTCAAGGCTAAATCTTCCACCACTACAACTCCCAAATCAATAAAACCTACACCAACTAAAAATCCTATCACTGAGAAACCTAAAACAACTTCAACTGTAACAAAATCAACAGTCACAAAACCTGCTGCTAAGGCTGCTGTTTCTAAAACTGCTCCTACCACTGTCAATACTTCGGCTGCTGAGAAAAAAACATCTGTTACTAAAGTTCCTGGAAAAGTTTCAAAGACTACCACTCCAGCTTCTAAAACGACTAAAAAACCACCAACTACAGATAAGAAAGTTACTAATGAAAAAAAAGCAGTTTCTTCTAACAATTCAGAAAAAAAAGATCAGAAAGAAGAAAATAAAAAGGAGGAGGAAACTATGCACACAGAAGAAGCTATTCACACAGAAGAAACTACTCAATCAGAAGAAACTATTCAATCAGAAGGTGCTACTCAATCAGAGAGTGCTACTCAATCAGATGGTGTTACTCAATCCGAAGAAGTTGTACAATCAGAGGAAACTGATGTTAAATCCGAATGTTCAAAAGACAATGAGATCGTTGAAGAACATGAATCAAACGAACAATTTGAAGAAGTTCACGAGAAAGGATCTTCAGAAAAGGAGTTCCATGAAAATCAGAATGAAATTTCAGTTACTGAGTCTCATGATGAAGTTTTGGTTACCGAGTCAGAAGACAAATCTCACGTTGAAGCTATAGAAGAGACTCATGAAAATGGTATCAAAGATCATGAAGAGTCGGTAGCTGAAACTGACCAAGTTACTGAATCTCAAACAGAATCTAATGAGAAATTTAACGATTTAACGACCACGGAATCTCTTTCGCAACCAAAATATGTAGATGATATTATTGAAGTCACGACTGTTGAAACTTCTGAAATGCAGAAAGAACCATAATTTATCTTTCATGATTATATAGCGCCATATGGCAAATTGAAATAATTGTAACTGAAAAGCTTAGACAAACTCGAGCGAATTTGTATGTAGATATCATATTTCGGGTTTATTGTTATTAAAAATCAAAAAAATCAAAAAAAAAAAAAAAGTCATGGGCTGGAATCATTTTACTTCAATTATCTGTAGTTAGCAAACATATTTCTTTATATTTTATTTATGCTTATGTATTTCGATATTAGATATTGTTCGTACAAATGGTGTTATTAAAATGTGATATACAATAAGGTTTATTGCTATTTATCAATGACATATTATTATTTGTTTTTTTTTTTAAAAAAGAAAAAAAATAAAATAAAAAAAAAAAAATTGAATTTGTAGAAGTGTAAAAATGTTAATCCCTATTGTAACACAGATTGATTGACAATTTCGAAAAAAGTTACATCGATATAAAAAGACATCCTAGTATAAAAAAATATCTTACTAAAAGTTGTTCTCGCTCACAATGGGTGGATCTCAAAGCTCTGCTAAAGGATATGGTTATCACATATTAAGGGTAAACGATTTCATTGCTAAAGGTTGTTCCGTTCATCAAAAATTTCTCGATCCCAATTTCCAGAAAAATTATTAGGTTAAAGAAAATTCACCCGCTCATACTGCTGGAATAGAACCATTTTTTGATTATATAGTTGGAATTAACGGAATACCGCTGGTACATTAAAAACAATACACATTTATTTGATTTCAGTTTCTTGAATCACCTTTTGTTAATTTACATTTGATAATCGCGTACATTCTTTTTCATTTTGTCTCTAGGACACAGAAACCTCTGTGTTTCAAGAACAATTATTGTTTAATGTCGATAAGGAAGTTATATTATTAGTATATTCTACCAAAGAACAAGAGTATAGAGGTTTTTATGCTTATTTTATTCCTAATTATTCTTAATCAATGTATTAATCAATGTTAAAATCATTCTAAAAAATATTTAATCAAATAATTCATTTTAGAAGTTTCACTGATTCCAAATAAAACTTGGACAACTAACCCAGAAGATGGTTTAATTGGTAATAAAAATTTTCCTGAATAATAAAAAAAATATTATTATACGTTATGATAACTTTAAGTCGTTTAATATTATAATTTTAATAATAATAATAATAATTTTTATAATAGGATGTAGCATTCGATATTGCTCTTATGAGGTAATATCTTTAAATCTCAATTCGACGCTTTATTATTTCTCTATTAATGTATATATATGTATCGATTAGAGTATCAATGAACATGTCTGGCATATTTTAGACATTGCTCCTGATAGTCCTGCCGAGATGGCCGGTTTGGTTAGTTTATAATTTGTATCATATTTTATCTTTATTTTTATCTTTTATCTTATCAATTAAAAAAAACTTTTTTTTTTTTCTTAAATTTACGCAGGTTCCTTCAACTGATTATGTTATCGGAACACCACATGAAGCATTACGTAGCGAAAATGATTTTTATGAATTGATTGAAGCCCATTTAGGAAAACCACTCCGTCTTTACGTTTATAATGCTGATTTTGACGTTTGCCGGGAGGTTTGTAGAATTTAGTGTGTGAAATTATACGACTTTTGAGATAAATCTTACATAATATTATATATATATTTGTTTTAAAGGTTATCATTGTTCCTAATCACGAATGGGGCGGAGAAGGATCTTTGGGGTGTGGCGTGGGTTATGGGTATGTGTAGTTATTGAGAAATTTTAAAATTTCTTAAAATTTATTAACAAAATTCTATCCATAATCTTTAGTTATTTACATAGAATTCCAAAAACCAATAAATTCAAGTCTCGTGAACGAAATTTTGAATTATCATGGAACTCTTCTACATATCCACTTCTTCATCCTTCGTCCGAACAGCCTTCAAGTACTATTGCTTCTGCATTCAATCTTGATGAAGAAGTTTCTGAGAATGAAAAACATACATACTCAAACCAACCTGGCGATTCAACTCCTGCTGAGATAGTTAAAGAAGAAGTTAGGAATCAAAGTGATGGTTATAATGAACAAATAATAAACGATGATCAAGTTTCAATTAAATCTGAAAATAGATCGATTTCAAATGGTGATGAAAGTGAGAGTATAGTCATTGTTGAAAAGGAAAATTAAAATTAATTGTTCCACATAAATATCATAAATATAATAGATCTAGTAAAAAAAAAAAAAAAAAAAAAAAAAAAAAAAAAAAAAAAGATATTGAAATTATAATTTTATTGTGATAACTTTTTAATACGATTTTACAAATAATTATTGTAATTTACAAATAATGATGTAAATAATATTAGGCTCTATAATTCCAATTTCTTTAGAGTTAGAATCTTGGTTTTTAATTTGTCTTTGTTCTTTACGCATAATCAATCAAAAATTATTATGCCCTTTTTTAACATAAATAATTCATTCATATTGCGTTTTAGCATCAGATCATGATTCAAGATTGATAACAAAAGAATATATTAATATGGGGTGATATAAATACAATGGCCCCAATAACAAAAAAAAATAAAATCCAAAAAGACAAACTATTGCGTGTATACAGTTTGCATATTATAACAAAATGAAATGAACCCTATAAAAAAGAAAAGAAAAATCAATTTAATTTTTTTTAATCACAAAATAACTCTTTGAATTAATTATAATAGCATTTGTGACTTACATTTATATTTAATCTTCCCATTCCCAAACTTCTTTAATCCATTTTCGTAAAGGAACTTCTCTACTTGATGATTTTTGAATAAATGGATGACCAAGCATTTGCTTTGGTGTTGGTCTTTTCTCACCATCCTTTTCCAGACTTTTTAAATACATAATGTATTAAAATATCATTTAAGATGCTAAATTATTATAAATTATAAATATAAATAAAGTGAATAATTTCAATTACCAAACTTTCAAAAAATCTCTAAGTTCACTACTCCATTCGTATTCATCACCTAGCACAGGTGCTGGTAAGTTGACTATATGTGCAACTAATTCAATTGGAGCAACAGTAGGATAAGGAAATCTATTTTGTGCGACCTCCATTACCGTCAATCCTAAAGACCATACATCAGCTGATACTTTATATTTTTGACCTTTAATACGTTCAGGCTAATGTAACGTTAAGATATTTGATAAAATCTTTTCGACGATAAAAAATTTTCATGATTTATCTAAATAATTTACTTACGGCCATATAATAACTAGTACCCAAAAAAGTGTTGACAGATGACGATTCTAAAACACCTGACACTCCAAAATCGCAAATTTTTATTTCACCGAGTCTTGTTACCAAAATATTAGATGGCTTTATATCTATTAAATTAAAAAAAAAAAAAAATTGCATAAATATATGTAATAGCATTTAATTCAGAATATAAAGTCAATGGAAACCAAATTTTTTTGAATTTTTTTAAAACTAAAATGATTCAGTAAAAATTCTAGTCATTTAATGAAATTTTTTTTTAAAAAAAAATCATTTATATAAATTCGTGTTGAATCATTTTTGTTCAAAGTTTAAAAGAAAAACAAACTTTATAAAAAATTTGTTGGATTTTATTGACTCACCCCCGTATTAAAAAAAAAAAAAACTTACCCCTATGAATAATATGTTGTTCATAGAGATAAACCAATCCTTTCAATACCTGATAAGAACAATAACAAATTAATTAAACAAAAATTAAAAAGTATTAAATGTTTATATTATAAAATATAAAATACAAGAATTTTACCGATTCTGCGATCTTTCCCAAGATCGGTTCACCAATTGTTCCTTGTCTTTGATTAACATGTTTATAAATTACATCTAAACTTCCACCCTCACAAAATTCCATAAAGATAGAAATTGAAGAATTATCATCTTCCATAAAAGCTCCATAATAAGTAACGATATTTGGTGAATGACATTTACTAATGAATCGGATTTCACGAAGAAGTTGTTTATGTATATTAGGATCAACGTTGATTTTCTAATGTTTATGAAATTACAAATTTTTTTTTTAGATTTTTCCAGGGAAAATCTGAGAATTATTATACAATCCAATGTAAGCTCCGAACTAAAAACTCTATTAACTCAAAAGTATATCGCTGGATCAAAAAACTATACCTTTTTGGCCATTAAAACTTTTGTAACCGTATTATATACTTTGGTAACCGTACCTCCAGATCCTTCTCCTATTTTTTCTAAATCTTGCAAATGCGCAGCGTTGATTTTCGCAGAATCATCGTCAGATGGAAGTACATCATCTCTCGAAAATCCACCCGTGTCACTCTCAAAGGGTTGTGGTGTTATTCTTCCACTTTCACCAATTGCAATCTTAATTTCGTTAGTTAACATCTGACCATTTGAAGCCTGAGCTGGAACAACAAGTGGAGAAAGAGATGAAGGTGCTGAAGAAGAAGGAGTAAGGGCGGTGGACGGGATGTCAAGACGAGTTGGAACATTGTTACGATGAAGGCTAGGACTAGAGCCTACATTTCGCTTATTACTTTTTGAAGTTGCCATTATTTATTATTTTTACTTTTTTGGTTAACTCAAAAAGTTTTATCTTAAACGTTTAAAGTTATTTTTAAAAATTCCGCTTTCTATCATCAAAAATTAAAAAATAATTTAGATACAAAGTTTATCAGAGAAAGAAAGAAAAATCCTTTTTTTTTTACAATTTAACTGAAAATTTTTAATACTAACAATGATCAAAATGATAATTAAAACGCGCTTTCGTTACATTCAATTAATTACTAAGATAAACCAATCCCAAATTAGAAACGTGCACACTATTGATGATGATAACTTTTAACCAGTAATCATAAAGCATTTATTTCTTATCGGTATCTATCACTATCGTTATATTTATTCAATCTATTACAATTACTTTAATGAATGATTAATTGAAAATGACTATCTATCACCACTGATTTTGAATATAACATGAAATGAACAATTCATATTTAAACCTTCATAATTAAGCCTTTGGTGCACTAATAATCTTAAATACCAAATTTTTAAACTTATGAAACTTATGAAACTTATGAATGAAATTTTATCTGCGATAAACATGTAATTTATCGAGATATCGCGACAATATTGCAGCAATTATAGCCATTGCACCACCAAATCTAAACACCCAACCAAATGCATCATTACTATCTACACCAGAAATATCATTTACCAACTTAATAATTACAGAACTGGTTAAAGATACAACTAATTGAGGTAATACAATATATAAATTATGTACACCCAATATCATCCCTGCAGCAAACTTTTCCTCTTCACTATGCAAAGTAGTAGCTGCAGATGATGATGTTGGAGTGAGATCTAAACTCGTACTAGCTTCTTCTTCATCATTGTTTGTTAATGGTCTAACATCAGTGTTTTCTTGTGTTTCTCGGTCATCTTCTTGCCCTACGTATTCACCAACCAATGCAAATGGTATCCACATTGAAATTGCCCATGGAACACCAAAACTACCAATAAGTAAGATTGATTGTTCAACATTATTTACAAAGGAAGTACTCCATGCTATCAAAGCAAATAAAAGGTGAGAGATTGTATAAATGTTGTAAACGGTGAAAGGGTTTTTGCTCGAAGGAGAGGTTGGAGTAAAGCGTGGAATAATAGAACCGGCCAAAAAAGAAATCCATGAATACATTAACAACGCAAATGATCCATATCGAGTTGATTTTTCAAAGAAATCAGGATCATCAATCGAATGGGTTCTTGCGTATACTGAAGCTATCCAACTCGAGCTTGACAAGGTATAAATCGTGAATATTTATAGGTATGTAAGGGATTTGAATAGGTTAAAGAATTTTACTCACCTAAAAAATAAAAAAGGGAACCAACCCATCCAAGAAAAGAATTGAACGTTGCAAATTTTTTGAATGGGAGATGGAAGATATCTAATTGCTTTATATATATATAAAAATGTATTATACAATGAACTAACAAATAAAATTATTTAATTAATAAAAATTTATATAAAACTCAAAATTTAAATAGGTCTATGATAAAAGAACCACCTTGAATCATCATCTACAGGTTCATATACTTTTTCTTTGACATTTAAGCATGTGTAAAGCAATGATAGTGTAAACACTATACATGCTACTATACATAAAATTTTGAGTTGACTATCTCCTAAGAACGGAAACAAAGCTAATAAATTCAAAAAACCGGTGAAATATCCGGCAATATTTCCGATATGCAACATTCTACCAGCCCATGCATTACCAGTTTCTTGCTGATAAACAGGAGGAATGTCAAGAATTAAAGCACGTATAGAAGCTTGAACGGCATTTAAAGAAAAATCCAAAACATAAAATCCAACAACTGCGATAATAATCGCAACGTTTTTAACCTATTATATTGAAACGAAGAAGACTCAGGTACTATTTATCTATAAAATAAAAATTAAAGCCAATAAATAAACTTAAGATTACCTCATCATTTAATTTAACTGTTGTTTTTTTGCCAAGAAAACGCGAAGCCCATTCCTTTGAATAAGCGATAGAGACCATGGATAAACAAACCAATAACCCTCCAATAAGAATGAATGGTCTTCGGCGACCTATTCTAGAGGTGCATTTGTCACTAAATGCACCGACGAGTGGTTGCACTACAAAGCCAGATAGTGGTCCTGCAAACCAGACAAGCGCTATAAGCTCCGGTGATAGTCCTAATGATACCAAATACGGTGTTCCATAACTGTAGTTTAAAGGAATGAGGGTTCATACTTAAAAAAAAAACATTCGCATTTCACAAAATCCAAATTTGAAAAAACTTTTGGAAATTGAAAATCAATACCCAAAAGTACTCACGAAAATTCAACTGTCCCTAAAGTTATTTTTTTACAAGATAGAACATAAGACTTTTGATATTTAAAAAAAAACGAAATAAATGCATAAATTCCAACCCTAAAGACAAAAAGAAAATTCACTATTTCAAAATGTTTTTTTGAAACACATTCCAGAATAGACTACTTACATGCGAATTGTAGACCAGCCATGCAAAGCGTCAACTTAATCATTTCCCATTGGGACAAAGCTTCGTCCTCAAGTATTTCATTATTGTCTATTATTTCATTATTGTCTATGCTCTGATAGGAAGTAGACTTTTTAGAATTTAAAAGAGGTCGAGAAACTTGAGTGGAAATAGATTCCATTTCAAAAGGAAAAAAAAAAAAATAGAAAATAACGTCTTACATTATTTGATCGAGACCCTTTTAAACGGTTAAAAATTTAACAGATCAAATGAATTGATTTGGTGATACCAACACTATCTCAACTTTCTTTAGGGAACCTATCGCTCCTAAATAAGCACATAATATGGAACGGGTACTGGTTCATATGATAATCTAATCACGATTGATTTAAGATTGATGTACAAATGCGATCTCTCACTATGTAAAGAAATGATAAATATTAAGTAATTTATTTAGTAGTTTATTTAATGTGAAGTAGGGTCTTGCGCTTGAGCATGGTATTGACATGCCCAATCGAGTAATCAGGTGATATAGGAGCGTGGGAATATCTGATAATTTCTAAAGTGTTTAATTTAACCTGAAATTAGAAAACACTACGAAAATCAACTGATTATCCAGGTGATAACGATAAAGATTGCCAACATTCTATATTTAATCATTAAAAGCAGACAATTTAAACCCGGTACCCAAATGCGGTGCCCTCTCTAATTGGTAAGTCTGAAGTCTGAAAAAATGTCACTATAGACTCTAGCTACTCTAGTTACTCTAGCTAATTTAATATTTTTGAAATGATTTAATACATAGAAACATTTAAATATCCGAAATGAGATATTCTTTACACATATGGTTGTTTATTTTGCATTATAAACAACCAATCCAAATAAAGAATATAAAGAATTACAGACATCTCTCGGACAATAAAACGACGTATTTATTATCGACTTACGTATACACGTACGTACTTAACAATTCCTCCTCCAAACAAATTAAAAATATCAGTTATTAAATTATACAGTATAAAATAGTTTATCTTTTTTAAAAAAAGATATATGTATATAGTTAATCCGATTTTTTTCATAAAGTTTATTATTCTTCGGTTATAGTATATAGTATATTATTCTACAATTTCTAATTGTTTTCCCATGACCATTTCATTAATGCTGATGTTTCACTGTCGTCAGTTAAAAGGTCACGAGTACTACGTAAGGAGTACGTACGTACGTACATATGTGTAATAGGTCGTACACTATACGTATTTAATTCCTCATACCAGATACGTATAAACATCATAAACACAAGCTTTTCGCATGTTTACGTACACGTACGTATCGGTATGTTTCTGCTATTATAGTTTAAAGCAATGTACATCCTTTTTAAAAAAAACTGGTCATATGTTAAAAAAATTTGAGTTACTCAGCATGTAATCTTATTTATTTACTTATTAAATACGATAAATTTTCTAGATTTTTCTACATAGAACAAATTTTTTTTAAATATATATATATATAGAAATATATAGAATAAAAAAAAAAAAATTGTGAAACGGAATTTAAGTGGATTTAGAATATCTTAGGATTATAGTGTTAGGATATAGGTTTATATAGAATAAATTCTACCCTAAAATTATAATTTTATTCCATTTCCACTTACAACAGATACGTATGCACGTTAAGTAGATTTAAAATTTCGTAAAAGTATTAAATATTAAATTTACAAAGTATGTTGTAATCGGATCTGCAAGCCGGGCAGATCTTAGGCATGGGTTATATAGGATAACTTTCTCGTGATTGGTCACATGAAATTGAATAACACGTTATTATTGGTTAATTGTGAAACATGTGACAATCAACCAATTAAATTACATCATATTCGTAAACTTAATTATTCTCACTTTAACAAAAGAATAAAGAAAAAAATAAGTCTATATGTGAATTTTTTAAATGCCTATCACACTTTTTATGCCGAACTAATATAGTATTTGAGGATCTATCGCTTATTATACCCAAAGCTCGTTATGATAAGACTCATTAATCTCTATATATATACGCGTATATAAAGTTTTAACCACTCTTATTACTAACTCTATTCTTATGTATTAACATTTTTTAT